TTGAATCCCACATTTAATCAAATTACACTTTGGATTGAAATATCTGATAAAGGTCGCTCAGATCGTAATAAGGAAATAACGGAAATAAAATAATAATAAAAACATCGGAATATGCTAAAAAACTAATAATCTCTTCTCCCCATTATTACAAATTGAATGTTTTTTGAATAATTCAAATCGGATGCTCCGTTCTCTCGAAAACTCGATTTTCATTTTCTGCACTCTTTGCTCCGTGTCTCCGAAACTCCGAAACGACTGGAGCTGCCTTTGCCAAAAACTAATCAGCACATCTCCATATCAATAGGAATCGAATGTTTTTTAAATAATTCGAATTGATTGATCCGTGCGTATGAAAACGTGGACGAAAAATGTATCCACACATTTATACACGCACACACACACACACACGGTATTATACCCAGGCAGTATTGAGTCTCAAATAACCAGACAAAAGACCTAGTATGAAATTGATAAATGTATTTTCCTTGCTGTACCAAGAAAAGGTACACATACACACATATATACATACATACATATATACATATATTGTTTCTAAAATATGCCAAAATGTTCAAAAACCTGTGAAACGTAGATATACAAAAAAATTTATTTTCGATTTTTGGACAATTACTATAACTTACCCTAAAAATTCTTTGGCATTTACTAAACTTTTATTTAGTTGGCTTAAGATGAACAATAACCAACATTTTATTTATTGAAGTAAAACTTCTTTAGGCGCGACTAGAGTGTAAATCCGTACAAATGCAACGGATGTCCGTTACGCCCGAATAGAGATCTGTCGTTGTATGCGTAACGATATCAACGTTGTATGCGTACCGATATCAACAAGGAAATCGGCATAGATAAATAAACAGTTTAAAGTTACATCGTAGTACAAATCTTGATTTAACGAAAAATGCCTGAATCAGAAGAACATTTTACCCTGTTCCTTGAAAATAATAAAACAATTCATAGTTTTTATAAATCTTTGAAGTTATTAAAATAAAAAATATTTATTAGACAAGACAGATATTACAACTGTTCAAATAATGAGATTATATCGCCAGCGAAAAAGTATAATAAATGCAAGCAGTCAATGAATGTATGTTAATTTTAATTACATGAAGTTCTTCAAACACAATTATTACATGATGAGTGAAGTTGCGAAAACAATATTTGTTTAGGCGTTGTCTAACATAACCCACTGTGTGAACGATTATTATAGAATTTATTAATCAGCAATTACTTCATTTCTGTAATGAAGGTTCATTTCTAAATGCTAATTACAACGACACACTGATCATGTCATATTTGAAGTACGACTTTATTTACATTATTGTTTTTAAATATTTTACATATTTTTAGTGCAATCATAAATATATAATTTATCATTTATCATTTTATAAATGTGTGTAATAGTTGACGACACTAATAAATGTGTGCATCACGAGTGTTACCATATTACTAATGAACATTATTCAGAATCGTTATATGATGTATTTATTTTAACTTAAATGCCATCTTGTACAGTAGCAAATAAGTTTTACTTCAATCGCATGTGAACCTTACGAACACTCTTTTTTTTAATAAAATTGTTACTTTTACGTTTTTTGGTACGATTAAGGAGCTGGTGCCTTAGTCGTACCACTTGTAGCCTTAGTCGTATTTTCCAATTTGCAAGAACTTGTCTTATAGTTCAAAACAAGTCATTTTCCTCCGGTTTCCTCTACAATCGCACGTGAAATCAATATAAATTTAACTCCAATGCATCATCATATCGCTCCTAAGTCGTAAATCTCAAGATCGTTCTCGAATGTCATTCAGTGTTCTTTACTATTTTATTTAAATTATACATTTATAAATAAATCACATACCATATAATTACTATTCTGAAAGTAATTGTTTTTGTTGACACGCAAACAGTAGTAGTACGCCTAGATAAATAATAAAATGATCATGATGATGATAATAATGATATATGGCTTTTGCATTTTTATTAATAGGTATCGATAATTGATACAGAAGGAAAAAGATTGATTATTATTATTATTATTAGTGATGTTCTTCCTGAAAGCAAAGATCTATGGTCAGAGTACCAAGCGAGATTCATTTTTTTAACTTACACTCTCATTTTTGTATTATACAAGAATTTTTGCAACTATCCAGAAAAGGCAATAAGTAAATCTTTAAGAAAATTCAACATTAGTGATTTTGACATAAACAGAGATTAATGTCGATACAACTTTCTTTTTAATCTGGTCCTGGTAGTTTTATATCCAGTGACTTCGGGTGTTCCTCGAGGTAGCTTTTGTACTTGTCTGAAACAGTTTTCATCCATAACGCCAACCAAATTTCAAATAGATGACTCAAAATCTAAATGGTATTTACTAAGTAGCTACGAACGTTTATGGTATTTATTAGCATGTTTTATAGCCAGATCACTGGTCTTCCGCTGGCCTACTTTTTCAGTTTGATGGTTCTATGACGAGTGACTTTCAATGATCATCGAAATGGTTTTGTACTCCTCAAAATGTGTTTGTTGTTATAACACTATCCAAACTTCATACAGCTTCCTACTCCCAAAATTCATATAGCTTTCTACTCCCAAAATTCATGGTATTTATTAGCATCCTTTTTAGCCAGACCACTGGTTTTCCGTCGGCCTACTTTCCAAGTCTGGTAGTTTTATGTGGAGTGACTTTGGTTGATCCTGGAGGCGGCTTTTGGACTCGTCTGAATGAGTTTGTGTTTATAACGTCAACCTAATTTCGAATTGATGGGTCATTGTGACTCAATTGCTAGCATAATTTTTAGCCAGACCACTAGTCTTCCGTCGGCCTACTTGCCAAGTCTGGTAGTTTTATGATGAGTAACTTTGGGTGATCCTCGAGTTGACTTTTGTACTTGTGTGAGTGAGTTTGTATTTATAACGCCAACCAAACTTCAAATAGATTGCGGTTCCAAAATTCATGGTATTTATTAGCATATTTTTTAGCCTGACCACTGGTCTTCCGTCGGCCTACTTATCATTAATTCTGGTAGTTCTATGACGAGTGACTTTGGGTGATCCTCGAGACGGCTTTTGTACTTGTCTGAATGAGTTTGCATTTTATTGTTTACTGTGCTGGTATTAATGTCTTTGTTGATTAACCTATTGGGTCAACCAAAATTTGTTTGAATAACCTATTTTGGCATTTTTGAATTAAAAAAAAAAATGGTTTGAAAGCTGAGTTACATACTTATATGCTGTGTGTCTAAATTGATGTAAAAACATTTTTTTAAATTGGTTCAGGATTTTTGGAAACAAAATTGGCGAAAAATTTAATCCATAACCATATCCAATTTTTTTGAAATATTGTCCAAAAATCTTATTTCTTTGAATTTTGATAAATATAAGAGTGAGAAAAAAACAATAAAATTTAGTCTAAACATGTTTTAATAATTATAAGACTCGATTGTTATTAACATAGTTTTCTTCCACAAATTGAAATTAAAACTAAATTAAAGATTAAATTAGTCGTATTTTTCTGCAAATTATTTAATTTAAATTAAATTTAGTGAATTTTTTCATTAAATTAACAAACATTGATTGAATAATGTTAATAAACTGACTTGTAAAATAATAAAATTAAAAAATTGAAAGTTGGTTGAGAATTCTACCTTCTTTTGTTAAAATTCCGTTCTAAAAACTTTTTAAATTCAGTATTTATTAAAACTAATACTAATTTTACTTTATATCATATTTTTTTTATTTTTTTGTAAAAATGTCTAATTTTTTTTGGTAACTTTGCTAAGTATTTAAAACAATTTTAATTCATTTAAAAAATGTAATTCAGATTTGTTTATTTCACTTGTAATTACATTTGAAAATTATTGTAATAATTGTAAGATTGTATAAAAAATTAATAAAATCAATAAAATCATAACAAAGATTTATAAACCTTTTAAACTAGTATTAGCTGATGCCATTTTTAAAGTTATTAACTCTTTAGTTAATTAATTATAAAACACTTTTTTAACCATGCAAACTTTGAAAACACATTTTAAAAATATTTATTTTATTCACAAATATTTTTTTTTAAATTTGTAATAAATAACCAGCTAAATTAATTAGCAACATTTTTGCAAAATTATTTAAGATAGGATATATATAAAATATAGTATTTTTGGTAAATATTATCATATTTAAAATGTTAAAAGTAAAATTGTTGTTCACAATAAATTATGAATTATTTTATATATCTTTCAAATTTTCTGAAAAATTTCTCACATTATTTAAAAGTAGATTGGAGTATATGTAAGGATGCATATGCGAGTCTGAATTTGATTTTTTTTCTAAAACGTCTAAACCGATTTTTAAAATTCAGAAGCTATTTGTGAGATTTTTTATAATCAGCAAAAAAAGGGAAAATTATTTTGTCCATAATTTATCCAAAAATCTTGAACTAATTTTGATAATCCAAAAACAGCTTGAAAACCTTCTATAATAATAGAGTTTATTGTCTAAATAAAGGAGCAATACAAAATATAATAGGCCTACAAAAAATATTTTCTCTCATATTACCTCTTAGGCTCTAATTACCCCCTTAGGTCATACACAACTAAGGCATCTTTTTGTTAAAGTACAATTAATTTATTTCTTTAAAAAAAGTAGAATAAAAAAAACTTTGTTCATGTATACATGAATTTAAAAAAAATTAAATTGACCTAAATTTAAAAAAAAATGACAAATCATCATATATATATATTATCCAACTCTGTCTCTCAAAAAAGTTGAAGATCAATTACACGATACAAAAAATATAATCTTTATTGCAAATTGGATAACCGTGATAAGATAAGATATTACATTACAATATATAATTAGTAAGAGTATTAATTAGTAACCTTGACAACCACAAATCTTCATCTAGGAGATAAAATTAGATTGCCATAATTTTGCACATTTGAAACCTTAAACAGTATTTCCTTGGTCACCAAGAACCAAGAGCAATTTTATCATGGAGCCTTGGTTAAAAATTTCAGTTTTGTTAAGTGTTTTCGGTTTCATAAAAGAAATCCGTCCATCGGAACCGTTTATATCAAATTACATTCTCGGTGAATGGAGAAATATTACAGAAGAACAATTGTCTCAGGATGTGTATCCAGTAGGAACCTATTCCTACTTGGCACAATTGGTTTTGGTGTTTTTGATAACCGATTTCTTTAGATATAAACCTCTGATTGTGGTTTGTGGTATATCTGGTATAATTGTTTGGAGCATGTTGCTATGGACGACAAGTTTGGTAGATTTGCAGGTTCTGGAATTTTTTTATGGTACCTACATGTCTACAGAAGTTGCTTATTATACGTTTATTTATGCAAAAGTTGATAAGGAGCATTATCAAAAAGTTACGTCCCATACAAGGGCTGCTACTCTGGTAGGCAGATTTATTGCTGGGTCGTCTGCTCAAATTTTGGTGTACACCAAATTGATGGATTATAGAGACTTGAATTATATATCTATTGTGGCACAAATTTTGGCTACGATTTGGGCTTTATTTTTGCCTTCGGTCAGCAAAAGTTTGTACTTCCATCGAGACGATGAAGTAAAAACAAATCTTCCCCAGTTAGAACAAGGGAATACCACACCAACTCACCAAAAATCTAATAAGTATGCAAGGGCTTTCAAAATCCTTTGGCACCATTTCCTATCAGCCTACACCAATTGGCATGTAATTCAATGGAGTTTGTGGTACTCCTTAGCAATGTGTGGGTTCATACAAGTTCAGTCCTACATCCAAATCCTTTGGGCCCTTATAGAACCCGATGCAGAAAATTCAGGGCTTTGGAATGGTGCCATAGAGGCAGCCTTGACCCTTCTAGGAGCAGGTGCAGCCCTTTTGGCAGGATACCTAAAATCCTACAAAGGAGGACTATTAACTTTAACAATTTGCTCGTTCCTGGAAGGTGGTGCAATTTTGACATCAGCCCAGACTGATTCCTTATGGTTGTCATATGCTGGTTATATTATTTTTGGTGCCTTGTACATGTTTATGATAACAATTGCAAGTGCTGAAATTGCTAAATATTTGGATGAAGATAGTTTTGGGTTGATTTTTGGGATTAATACGATGTATGCTCTGGCCTTTCAAACAATTTTGACTGTTGTGGTTATCTCGAAAGACGGATTTGAATTGCAAACAAGGGATCAGTTTATTGTTTATGGCTATTATTTTATTGCTTTAGGAGCTTTATACTTTGTTGCAACTATTGTTATTTATTTTATTAGGCCGAAGAATAAAGCTCAGATTAGTTGATGAGATTTAAAATTCTGATAATCCTAGTTATGTTATGTTTTTGTTTAAAATATCTATAATTCTAGATGAATTTTTCTGGAAATTGAAATCGTAAAAAATATGTTTGACTAAGTTGATAATTAATTTTTGTAGTGTTAGCATTTTTTCATTTTGAATTCATTTATTTTTCCGAATAAAATATTAACAATTGTTTCAAAATGGATCTTAAGATATAAATGTAACATATTTAATTTTTCATGATATTTGGAAAATCTGATTACAACAAATATGTGGCGAAGTTCTTGGAAGCAAATAATATATAAAAGAATGCATTTTGATTAAAATTTGAACAAATAAATATTATATGAATGTAGCTGTTTGCTGAAAACAAAAACGATCAAAATATCAGTATTATATTTAGTGTAAGACTAATATTTTATTTATAGTTAGTAAATACTATTTGGAACTGATGTATGGTTTCCAAAAATTAATGAGTTTTATTATTTTTATTGGATTCTATAAATTATTAATATAAATATTTTCCAAAGTTTATAGTATTTATTATACTAGAATAAAATTGTTAAATTTATAAAAATAGTAGAAAAATTATACCAATATAATAATAACAAATAAAATATTAAAAAAAATTAAATACAAGTGTAAAAATACTAATTATTTTTGAGTTTTTGATAAGATAAGTTGACTGAGTATGTAATTAAATTTTTAGTAAGCGTTTATTTTAAAACAAATTAAATTTCAATATATAAATATTCCTAAAAAAAAAGAAATTCTTATAAACTACTTCCAAAGAATTATAAAAAATATCAATTTGATGAATTTGAAAAAAATAGGGTGGCTTTATGTTTGAAAATAATTTATTTTATTTTTTTATAATAATCACAATAATTTTATAATATCATTTCATTTCAGAATTGATGTATTATATTACTGTTTTTTTTTAATCAACAAATTATTAACTGATTTTGAAATTCTTGATATTTTAATTTGTTTCCAAGAAGGAATTTAAAGAATTAAAATTACAAAATGACACGCCTATTTGCATATATTTAATTATATAATATTTTATAACTACACTTAAAATTGAATAATAGAGGAAGTAAACACGTTTTACAATTGAAAAAAAAATTGATAATAAAAATTAAAATTACGATTAGATAATATATTTTAATAATACTTCTCATTGCGATTCCTAATGAAGATATAAAAATATAAAAAATTGCCTGTGAACATTTCTTTCAAACTGAAATGCTATAAAATTTATACCTCATTCAGGCGCATTTTTTTTTAAATACGTGGATAACATTTTCATCTTATTTATATAGTTGCAAGATGAAGTAATTTGCTTTAATTACATAATCGGTATTTTTTTAAAAAAAACTAACATTAAATGTATCTATCACATGAATTTTTAAAATAAACGTGAACGAAAAATTTGTCACTTTTTTGCTAATTACAAAAAATATTATTTTTGATTTTAGATTTGATTGTTTTATAAAAATATGGAAAAAAGTATAAGAAAACAGATAGTTATGATATATAATTTCTGAAATCAAGTACTATATTATAATATTCAACTATGATGATTTTTTGAACTGAAGCTTCACTTTTGTAAGACACGATAGTTTTAAAATTAAAAAAAAAAAAGATATATAACTAAAAGAATAGTTTGTTTAACATGCTAAATGATGACATACGTACAGTGCCAAATACATAATAGTTTTTTGATTTATTGTTTTTCATTTCGAGTTTAGTGTTTAATAAATTTTATATTTTTTGTGGTTACCTGGTTTGGTTACTGAATAATGACACGCATTAGGTGTCAAAACGTTTAATAAAATAAAAAAAAATTAATTTTTTATTAATTTCACGATTGGGCTGCAAAATACTTCTTGAGACTTCTAAGATGGTCCCTAATATGGATATTTTAGAATGCTTCCAAATCGATGAAAAAAATATCTGAACATTTTTGCTCTTAATATTAACTTTGCACTCCAACCAAAGTTTCTTGTTTTTTCCAACTAATAATAAGTAAATACTTAAATATTTTATAAAACATTAAATATTTGTTGTATTTTTTTTAAATTCATGATCAAAATAAACAAATACAATGTAATTCTCAAAATTTTAATTCACTTATAAAATTCTAAAAAACTAATTAAATTTTACTCATTGCGGATTATCTTAAAGTTAAAATTAAGGGCTAAAATTTTAATAGATTTTTTTTTAGTCAATGTGGAGGCATTTGAGCCCCTGGTAGTAAAGAAATTCGAAAATATCCATATAATCCTAATATATATATATATATATATATATATATATATTAGGGTGGTCCTTAAAAAGGTCATTTTCGAATTTCCTTGCTCCCAGGAGCTCAAATGGTTCCAAATAGATAAAAAACAATTCTCTGAAAGTTTTAGCTCTTTAGAGCGCAATTCAATCAAAATTTGTATGGAAAGAGCATGGAAAAATTTTTGAAAATTTAAAAAAAATGTTTTAGGCGTAACTTAACGACAAATGAATGAGTTTTATTCATTCATTTGTTCGCTAAATTACATCTAAAAATCATTTTTTAAATTTTTGAAAATTTTTCCATGCTATTTCCATACAAAACTTTGATTGAATTGCGCTCTATTTAAAAGACAATATTAAGAGCTAAAACTTTCAGAGAATTGTTTTTTATCTATTTGGAACAAGTTGAGCCCCTGGGAGCAAGGAAATTCGAAAATGACCTTTTTAAGGACCACCCTAAATATATATATATATATATATATATATATATATATATATATACGTGTGTATTCTATATCTCGTATATAACATGTGCAAGGGATGAAATCAGTTTCGAATTGGAAACTCGTTAGCGGTTTGGTCTGCTTTTCCTCCGGAGGGTGAACGAACCGACGAACCCTCCGGGCAGATTGCCTATTTGTTCCGGAAAAAGTCCGGAAAAGAGCAGATAATGTTACACAACAACATGTAACATTATACATCATTGTTTCAATATAAATACACGTTGTGTACGTTCAGAGTTGAATTTTATATCAGATTTATAGAAAAGGTAATAGAATCACATTGAGATAAGCTTGTTATGCTGTTACATCATAAAATATTATAGGCCTATAGAAATGTTGTTATTATTAACCCTCCGTCGGTCGGCGTGGTCTGGCCAGACTTTTTTCGACTTCAATTTAAAAAAAAATAATTCCAGTAATCCTATCGACTTGAAATTTCTTGACTTTTCCTAAAATTTCATTAGCTGTCGATCAATGGAAAAATCAGGACGAAAAAATGTACAGAAGGATAATTATAAGGATTTAATTTTTTTATACTTCGAACGGTCGGAAAGGTCTGTCTAGACCACCCATACATTTTGTATGAAATATACGCTTTTTCATGGTATTTTCTATTCAAACTGCGTTGTTTATATTCTTTGCTATGTGTTCTAACATGAATGTTAGTATTTTCATGACGAGAGTTCCTTGAAAACCTACCAAATTTATTAGTAATCGCAAACACTGAAAATCGGATGAGTAATGCACACATTATCAACAATTTTTCTACCCGTACTGCGTTCGAATTTTTTTTTGGCAAACCTGTAGTGAAATTATATTTTCACTTTGAGTTTTATAGCTCATTTTAAAGGCTACGCACGTCATTTCGTTTTCATTTGAATTTCACATTCATTTAAAAGGCGTCGAAAAAGAATAAATTTAAAACGATTTCTTGATTTTTTTTATATAATATAAAATGTAAAATTTTTATTATAAGTAAGCTCAACACATGCTTAAGACGGTAAGAAAAAGAAAAATCTAAACTATAAATATTTACTACTAATAATCGTTAATATATAAGACACCAAAAGCTAATTTATGCCATAGAAATGCATGTAAAATTAATGGTGGTCCAGCCAGACTTTTCCGACCGTTCGAAGGTGAAAAAATATCCAACCGAGGAGGGTTATTAATTTATTAAATTTTGGAATAGTGAACTACATTTGTGGAGACACGAACGACTTCACATCAATCTCTCACAAAATATATCATACAACCATTTGTAATAACAAATTAAGTTCTGATCCTAGACAATATTGGAATGTGACAAAATTTATATCAAAATCTTCTTATTTCAATACATCATTTTTTATACACCAAATAAAGTATATATTTTTATATCATGAGAGTACTACCTGCTGTTCCTACAATTGGTGACCCCGACGTAAAGTCTGTGGAGGGTGTTTTTCTCAAAAAAAATAAATAATTTATTCAGTAATATATTTTTTGTTTTCCTAGCAATTGTTTATTTCATAAAGTCGAACAAATTTTTTTTTAAAAAAAGTGTAGTTCCAAAACATTTTTTTTTGGGATATTTGAATAAGAAGAATAAACTGTTATTGAAATTCATAGTACTTTTATTGATGTTATAGCAGTGAGTATAACCAGCGAGTTATACATTACATTTTCTACGAGTACATTACATTTCTAAAATTTTATCGTGATGATTTAAAAAATTACAAAATCAACACTCATTGCTTATAGTCAATCATTTACACGTATTAAGAAGTATATGCAACTTGCCTTAACGCAAAATGCCACTTACGCCTAGTATATATTTTAACTTCCAGTAGGGCAGGTTATAGTAATCGCAAAAAAATCGAAAATGAAAATTTTTTATATCTTTACCTTTCAGAGGTTTCTGAACATTTTGGCATACCTTAGAAAAAATGGATGTATGTGTGTGTGCGTGTGTGTATGTATGTGCGGATACAAATTTTCGTCGACGATTTCGGGAACACCGATCAACCGATTTGAATAATTCAAAAAACATTCGATTCGTATTGATAAGGAGACGTGCTGATTAGTTTTTGGCGAAGGCAGGTCCAGCCGTTTCGATGATATAGAGCAAAAGGTGCTAAAAACGGTAACTCAGTTTTTAAGATAACGGAGCGTCCGATTTGAATAATTCAAAAAGCATTTCACTTATATGAAGAACTGATCAAATTTTCACGAAGGCATTTCTAGCGGTTTTTCCAAAGAAAGTAATATTTTGTCAAAAATTTATAGTTCCTCAAAGATCTAATTTTTTCAGAGTAAATTTTTTTCAAAAATGTTAATCTTTTTAAAAAAAATAATTTTTGGTACGAGAAGTTCCAGCAATTTGCTTTAAGGCACGATGCCATGCGCCCCACTAGTTCATCAACTATTAATTTCTTTTTATATTTAAATTTTTGAATATTGAATATTTTAAATATTGCGCCACGATTTCACAATGTTTCGCCTTTATATTTTTTTTCTATATTTTCAAGTTTTTGATGATTTTTTCTGTATTTTTCTCTCGATTTTGTGTGATATTTATACATATAGATTATTTCATCTGTAAAAGTTATTAAATATCAATTTTTGTTATGATAGCAATATGTTGTGTGTGCAGTTTCATTGATTAATTCTGCTCCATTTATCTCGAAATCGAAACAGTTCGTGTGTAACATATGGCGAACAGAACTAATGTAAAAATTATTACTTGTTGGGATCGATTTTATATTGTATTCATAATATTTCATCAGCTTTAGTTTTAGTAAAATAGTTCACTAATGCAAATGGGCTAAAGAATCTTTGCTTAATACTAATTAGTATCATTCTCAACTGATGTCTTACAAATTTCTAAAATCAGTTTAAAATTGTTTACAAAAATGTCAACAAGATGTTTTACATAGTTTTAGGTTAAAATTGATTTCATATAAATATCTTTTTTCAATTATAATAAATAGCTTCTTCATAATTTTTTGTTCTGCAACTAACTTTTGTTTTGGAACTCTAATTTTGGTTTTCCTAACTAAGATTGCTTTCACTCAATCTAATAAATACAATACGAGTATTTTTGCACAGTTCAACAATTTATTTAACTAATTACAAAATTAGATTAATGTTTATCCATATTAGCAACAATTCTTGGATAAACTAAATCAACTGCATCGACTCCCATCAAAAAATCTACATGAGACCACAAAGTATGATTTACTTTGTATAATTCTTTCAAATTTGGAAGTTGTTCCGCTAAATACTCCACATCCTAAAAAATAGATACATAGAAATATAAATTATAAATATAAATATAAATTAATTGAAAATAATATAAAAATTACTGTACATATATGAAACCCTCTTGAGGTTTGTTTTAAAAGATGTTTAAGCATGGAAAATGAAAAAAGATAAAATAGATTAATAATCACTTTTTGTAATTTAAATTTGATCATAAGAAACGATTTGGGTGGATTGCAATTTGCGCAATTTTCAACGTATGTATTTTCAATATTTTTAATATGTATTACTTATCACTTATGAAAATATCTACTAATTATTGCTACAAAAATTAATATAATTAAAATAACATATTAATATATTTTCTCACCTTATATGAGACTACTACATCAGCTTTGGAATAATACAAATACACAGGAGTTGTAATTACAGACAAATTATATTCCGGAGGATGAATTTGTCCATAAATTTGGTAATTCTTTATCAAACCGTAATCAAACTTTTGAAATTTTCCTGAAAAATAACAAAAATACAGAAAAAAATATTTTTTTTTTATAATAAATAGTATCAAAAATACAATGTGGTTCTGAACAGTTTTTAGTTTTACCTGATTTTACTAATTGTGCAAAGTGAAGCAATTCCTTTGCAGATCCACCAGATGGAATATTTTCTAAAATTTCAGGAATTAAAGTCTGAAAATGAATGAATGACATCATTTTTCAGTTAAATTGTTCAGTTCATCAATAAATTGTTACAGTTATTCTAAGTACAGTAAAATTATATAAAAAGAAATTATAAATGATAAACTCGAAATATTTACTAAAAATTCTATAATATTCAGTAAAATATTATGTAGAATTTCGTAAATTCTGTAAATGGTACCAAATAGCTTCAAATCTAGTAAAACCTTATCTTTTGCTAAATTTAAAAAATCTTACTAATTTTAGCATATTTTTGCATCCAAATATTAAACTAGTATTGAATGGTAGTGAAATTATAGAAAATGTTGTAAAATATTAATATTCATTGAAAATTTTATATTTTTCGTGAAATTTTATGAATTTTAGAAAATATTATAAATCGTATAATGAACATTTAAAAAATTAAGCGTAATATTCAGTAAAAATCTTACAATTATAGTATAATCTTATAAAATTTAACTAATTTTTTTAATCGTATAATAAAAATGTATAAATCGAAGTAAATCTGAGTGAATCTTGTATGTTACAAAAATTAATTAAAAATTGCTTTTTATAATCGTATAATCAAATGTATTTTAATATTATGTTAAATATAGTTAAATCTCAAATAACTTTCTCATTTATCAAAAATTCAGCTAATTTCGTAAATCGTATATTAAAATTGTATAAAATACACTGAAATTGTGTGAAGTGGAGTAAAACTCAGTGATTTTTTTTTGTTAGAATATATTTTTGTTAACCAAGACCTTAATGTCTAGTAAAAATATTTTTCTAAATTTATTATATTTAACTGTTTTTATAAAATCCTATAATTTGACTAAAACGTAGAAAAATCTCAAAAAATTCAGTTAAAATGCTTTGATAAATATTCAGTAAAATCTTATAAAATCTAGCAAATTTTGTAAATTGTATATTGAAATTATCTGAATTACATCAAAATAGTGTGAAATATAGTAAATACTGTGAAAAATCTTACAATTAATGAAATTTTATAAATTCCAAAATTTTTAGATTCGTTAATAAATCAGTTTAAAATTTATTAAAAACTTATAAAATCTAATAATATTTTACAATATTTTTGTACTATTTGTATTTTATAATAAAATGTTATTAAAATTTTGTCAAAAATCTTGGAAACCAAACAAAATATAAAATAATGGCACAAATATCTTAGTATATCTTATCAAAAACGTTAGTGTAAAGTCAAAAAGTAAATTCAGACATTTGTAACTAACATATGTGGCATGAAAAATAGTGCTTTGCTAGGAATTTTGGCAAAAAAATAATCTGCTTAAACTTACAAATTATATATATATATATATATATATATATATATATATATATATAAATAATTAACTTCCCGTAGGGCAAGTTATAGTAATCGCAAAAAAATCGAAAATGAAAATTTTTATATATCTTTACGTTTCAAAGGTTTCTGAACATTTTGGCATACCTTAGAAAAAATGGATGTATGTGTGTGTGTGTGTGTGTGTGTGTATGTGGTGTGTATGTGTGTGTGTATGTGTGGTGTATGTATGTACGTGTGTGTATGTATGTGCGGATACAAAATTTCGTCGACGATTTCGGGAACAAGGATCAACGATTTGAATAATTCAAAAAACATTCGATTCGTATTGATAAGGAGACGTGCTGATTAGTTTTTGGCGAGGAAGGGTCTAGCCGTTCCGAAGATACGGGGCAAAAAGTGCCTAAAACGGTAACTCAGTTTTTAAGAGAACGGAGCGTCCGATTTAAATAATTCAAAAAACATTTTACTTGTATTACAAGATGAAAAATCGATAAAATTTTCATAAAGGTAGGTCTAGCGGTTTCGGAGATATGGAGGAAAAAGTAAAAAAATTAGCCATTTGGCGGTCAAAAATAATCATTAGACAATATGACATCAAATATCAGATATTTTATAGAGATTTTAATAATAAGTATACATTTGTTAACATTCCTATGGGTTCCGTACCAATGCTTATGCGTTAGACAGCGACGCGGCGCTTACGCGCTTTATATTTTTTCCATATGCAGTTAAATCAGTACGATTGCTTTGAAAAAAAGTTCAGATCTTCCACAATATGTCAAAATAAAGAGAAAAAAAATATTTGTTTTCAAAAAAAAAATTAAATTTTTTTTTTCAAAAAAAAATTAAAAAAAAAAATTTTTTTTCAAAAAAAGTAATTTTTTGTCCATATATATAATCTTATTTTTCAAAGTACATTTTTTTCAAAAATGTTAATCGTTTTTAAAAAATTAATAATTTTTGGTACGGGAAGTTCCAGCAATATGCCTTAAGGCACGATGCCTTAATTACCTTAAGACAGAATTCCACTTACAGCTAGTTTATTTTTTTAAATAATTACTTACGGCATTGACTTGATCAGGATCGTATCCAGCAAAAACATAATAAAGATTTTTGCAAACAATATCTCGAGTCCAGTCGTCGTCTTCACAAAGTAATTTTCCAAGTCCTTCAATAAAATCTGATCGAGGAAAAAATTCGTTGAGACCAATTTGTTTTGCTGCCCACTAAAATAATAGTTGGTTAATAAATAATATATAATATTAATAAATAATCTACATATATATATATATATATATATAATTATATATATATATATAATATAATTATATATATATATATATATAAATAAGTCCGGTTTTCCTTCCTGACAATTTTGCATTCGTTGGAAAGGTCTCGGGCTCCGCAAGGTTTATAGCTAAGAAAATTAGTGGTGCATGGCATCGTGGCATTTAGAAAATCATTGTTTTTCACATGGGCAGTTATACGTTGCCTGTTCACGAGTTGGAAAACCATCGGCTTTGTTTGTGTTAACGTCAGACCAAAAAACAAACTAGTTGGTTTGGTATTTAGCCTTGAGGCAAATTACATGAACTTCCCGATATGTGTAAATAATCGACTTGATCAAAAAATGTGTAAATAATATACTTCATCAATTCATTTTCAAAAAAAAACGAAATAATTTTAGCAAAGTTTGACGAATTTTAAATTAAAACTACTTGTTGTAAGGCCGTAATATTACAGTAAGTTCTGTAAAGACCATGATGTATATCGCCAAAAAAAGTTCCATGAAAAACGGCTTAATTTTTTTTTTTTTAACAGTTAATTACAAGAAAACGGCTCGGTAGATTTTCACCTAAAATTAATCAGTACCATTCCCATCTAATATTTTCGAACAGTTTTTGATTTTTCAAAATCGGTTCGGTAGGATGAGCTTAAATGTGGACGAAATTTTAACACTTTTTTTCAACAGTTAATTACAAGAAAACGGCTCGGTAGATTTTCACCTAAAATTAATCAGTACCATTCCATCTAATATCTTTCGAACAGTTTTGATTTTTCAAAATCGGTTCGGTAGGATGAGCTTAAAGTGGACGAAATTTTAACACTTTTTTTCAACAGTTAATTACAAGAAAAACGGCTCCGGTGGTAGATTTTCACCTAAAATTAATCAGTACCATTCCCATCTAATATCTTTCGAACAGTTTTTGATTTTTCAAAATCGGTTCGGTAGGATGAGCTTAAATGTGGACGAAATTTTAACACTTTTTTTTCAACAGTAATTACAAGAAAACGGCTCGTGTAGATTTTCACCTAAAATTAATCAGTACATCCACTAATATCTTTCGAACAGTTTTTGATTTTTCAAATCGGTTCGGTAGGATGAGCTTAAATGTGGACGAAATTTTAACACTTTTTTCAACAGTTAATTACAAGAAAACGGCTCGGTAGATTTCACCTAAAATTAATCAGTACATTCCCATCTAATATCTTTCGAACAGTTTTTGATTTTTCAAAATCGGTTCGGTAGGATGAGCTAAATGAGACGAAAATTTAACACTTTTTTTCAACAGTTAATTACAAGAGAAAACGGCTCGGTAGATTTTCACCTAAAATTAATCAGCATCATTCCCAAATTGATATCTTTCGAACAGTTTGATTTTTCAAAATCGGTTCGGTAGGTAGGATGAGCTTAAATGTGGACGAAAATTTAACACTTTTTTTCAACAGTTAATTACAAGAAAAACGGCTCGGTAGATTTTCACCTAAAATTAATCAGACCATTCCCATCTATATCTTCGAACAGTTTTTGATTTTCAAAATCGGTTCGGTAGGAGAGCTAAATGTGGACGAAATTTTAACACTTTTTTTCAACAGTTAATTACAAGAAAACGGCTCGGTAGATTTTCACCTAAAATTAATCAGTACCATTCCCATCTAATATCTTTCGAACAGTTTTGATTTTTCAAAATCGGTTCGGTAGGATGAGCTTAAATGTGGACGCGAAATTTAACACTTTTTTCAACAGTTAATACAAGAAAACGGCTCGGTAGATTTTCACCTAAAATTAATCAGTATCATTCCCAATGATATCTTTCGAACAGTTTTTGATTTTTCAAAATCGGTTCGGTAGGATGAGCTTAAATGTGGACGAAAATTTAACACTTTTTTTCAACAGTTAATTACAAGAAAACGGCTCGGTAGATTTTCACCTAAAATTAATCAGCACCATTCCCAACTAATATCTTTCGAACAGTTTTTGATTTTTAAAATCGGTCGGTAGGATGAGCTTAAATATGTACGAAAAGTTTTTTCGAATTACAAAGAAACGGCTTGTCGGATCGTTGCACAAAACTGACAAACGATAGTCCTCACCGAAATACATCAAATGGCTTTTAAATTTCTAAAATCGGTTCAGGCGTTTTTGAGAAAACGTCGATCAAAAGTCTAATTTTGACAAATGCCAAAAAGACCATACTGATTTTTGCAAACTTTGACGAATTTTTAAAGCTGAACCAGTTGTCGTAGGGCCGTAATATTTTAGTATGACCTAGAAAACTATGGTATCTTTCGTCAAAAAAATAATCATAAAAATCGTCAAAATTTTTTTTTTAAAAACTTTATTACAAGAAAACGGCCCGGCCGATCTTTACCAAAAACTAATCAGCACGATTCCCAACCAATATCTATCGAACGGTTTTTGAATTTTCAGAATCGATTCAGAATTGCGGGCTGAAACGTGGACGAAAAATTTTTCACTTTTCTGCAATTTACAAAGAAGCGGCTCGGCCGATCGCCGCACAAAACTCAGAGATGATAGTCCTCATCGAGATACATCAAATGGCTTTTAAATTTTTGAAATCGGTCCAACCGTTTTGGAGAAAACGTCGATTTACGGCAAAAAATCTGTTCACCACACACACACACACATACACACACACACACACACACATACTTTTTCCAAATTTGGTCTCATTCGATTCAGAATGGCTCGAAACGTCGAGAAAACATAAAATTAGCGATTCGGATTTTTTGATGAAAACATAAACTTCTCCTTCGGGAAGTTAAAAATGTGGTTTACCAAAGAGCACTTCAATGAAACGGATAATTTGCGGATTCATTTTCATTTACTTAGAGAAGTTCAACTAAAAAACACTTCATTTTTGTAATCGAAATAAATTCATTACTGTTCTGTAATAAAATCAAATTTTTCCTTTTAAAATATAAAACAAACAAAAACATTTTTCATCTTTCTCACGAAACCATCTGGTGGCGAAACGGAGTTCGTCGGGTTTGCTAGTCTTATATATAAAAATGAATCGCAAAATGTTGGTAAGCGCAAAACTCAACAACGCCTGGACCAATTTTGCCAATTCTTTCTTTAGAATGTTCGTTGAAGTCCAAGGATGGTTCTTACGGCGAGAAAAAATCGAATAATTTTCGGCAAAACCCTAAAAACAGACCTTTTTTTCTTCACATACGAACATTTTCTAACTAAAACGTAGAATCAATTTGAGCTTTATTGCTATAATATAAAGTTCATATTAAATAACAAGCACCCAATGTATACTCCTTCTGAACGATTATTCGGATTTTGATAAATCTTTCTGAAGTTTATTAAGGAAATTTTCTACGATGTATGTGATTATAAAGTACTGGGATGTATGTGCAATATTATAGATATAAATTCTAATTCAGTTCTACATTTAACATCGCTCATCTATTATTATAAATGTATATGCATTTTGACATGAAGAGTAATTTAAAAAACAATAATTATTTTTAGGTAAACGGCAAATACAGGACAACGTCAGTCGGGTCATCTAGTATATAACCATATACATAAATATAACCATAAACAATAATGCAGAAATTAAAATTAGGTTAAAATAAATTATTCCCATTTCCAATAATGATTATGACTAGTGCAGAGACAATAAAGGAGTAAGTTTGATTTAGAGTAGAATTACCTTCAATATTGATGTACATTTAATTTTGCAACTTGTCTCAAGGCAAAATGTCACTTACAACTAGTTCATTTATTTATTGGTCTCTACCTTGTAAAGGATAAGAGACTCCAAAAATTGTTTCGAAACTGCTCTCGAAATTCAAATACTATATTGCGTCACGTTCCTTTGTTTGAACGAACAATTTGTGGCGGTGGTTAAGAAGTTCGGGTTGTATTTTAAGACGCGAGATAACCGACTTCTTAGTTTAACAGTAAGAAAAAAAAACATCATGAAAAAAATACTAATCATACTGTAAAAACTTATACAAAAAACACGTATCAAACTAGTGGGGCGCATGGCATCGTGTCTTAAGGCAAATTGCTGGAACTTCCCGTACCAAAAGTTATTTTCTTTAAAAAGATTAACATTTTTGAGAAAAATTTACTCTGAAAAATTAAATTTTTGAGAAACTATAAATTTTTGACAAGGACTTCCTTTTTTGGAAAAAAAAAAAGGACTTTTTGAAGAAAAATTTATTTTGAAATATTTTGGAAATTCTGAAGCGCGCAAGCGCCGCGTCGCCGTCTAACGGGTAAACACTGGTACGAAACCCATAGGAATGTAAAAAATTTTATACTTATTGTTGAAATCTCTATAAAATATCTGATCATTTGATGTGCATATGCCTAATGATCATTTTTAACCGTCGAATTGCATTTTTTTTCACTTTTTTCATTAAATGCTAGACCTGCCTTCATGAAAATTTGATCAATTCTTCATCTTGTCAATACAAGTGAAATGTTTTTTGAATTATTCTAATCGGACGCTCCGTTCTCTTAAAAACTGAGTTACCGTTTTTGGCACTTTTTGCCCATATCTTCGGAACGGCTAGACCTGCCTTCGTCAAAAACTAATGAGCACGTCTTCTTATCAATACGAATCGAATGTTTTTTGAATTTTCAAAGCGGTTGATCCGTGTTCCCGAAATCGTCGACGAAAATTTGTATCCGCACATACATACAAACACGCACACACACACACACACACCACACATCCATCCATTTTTTCTAAGGTATGCCAAAATATTCAGAAACCTCTGAAACGTAAAGATATGCATTTTCGATTTTTTTGCGATTACTATAACTTACCCTACGGGAGAAATTAATAATGTTAAAAATATATAAAATACTGAACTTATATTTCAAATAAGATATTGATTATTCTCGTTGCCTAAAGGTTTTTTTTTCAATATGTTTCTTTCATTAGTCCACATTATATTAATCGTATGTCGAGCAAATAGTCTTAACCCAGATTATTTTCATCAAACAAATTTTTATCAAAATTGTAAGTAAATTAAAGATTACCCCTAATATTCCTGAAAATCTTGAAGCAATTTGCGCGAATATATTAGGCTGGTGCTTCATGAAGACAGTTGGTCCTAATCCTTGGTAAGATCGTACTTTATCATTGTATTCTGGTCTTTCTGATGCAAAGACAAAATAGTCGTTATTTCCTTGAGAATGTCCTTGAATAAAAATAAATAAAATCACATAAATTAATAATAAATATAGACCAAGGGTGAAAGAAACTAGAACTTGAAAATTTGGGATAGGAGATCTAAATAAAAAAAGAGTACATTTTTATAACAAAGACATATTTGATACATTTATACTAGACTAGTGTATCAAGATTAATGGACCGATTCGGCCACACAACAGACCAATATGTTATGGCAAGGCTATATTACGTTCCAACTTCCATACATTAGGCTACAGAATCATACTGAATACTGTCAAAAAGTCATGTATTTGCTGTGCATTCAGGCGTTTTCACATAAACTGCAACGTCACTCGTATGTTATGAAGCTGGGTCAGAAAGACCCTGTTATTTAACATCGTTTTTCTGACATTTGTGCGGTTTCCAGGTTAGGTTTTCTAGCTGACAACCTGAGAAAAACGACTGACTGCACAACAACGACATGGTTTTTGTCAATATTTAGTATGGAAAGTTCTTCATAACATGGCCTTGCCATAACATTGGTTTTACTTACCGAGAATGTGCAATTTTTCTTCACCAGTTGTTGCAAAAATATAATCAATCATGGCTGGTACGTCTAATATTCCAACTTCATGCCAACTGAAAAATATAGAAACAAATAGTAAATTGTTATTCTATTTTCTATGAAATTTTTGTAATACTAGATTATGGATGTTTGTAATTTAATGTTATGCAAGGCTATGTTATGAAGAACTTTCCATACTAAATATTGACAAAAGCCATATAGTTGCTATGCAGTCAGGCAATTTTCTCAGGTTGTCAGATAGAAAACCTAACCCAGAAACTGCACAAATGTCAACAAAACGATCTTCGATAACAAGGTCTTTCTAACCCAGCTTCATAACATACGAGTGACGTTGCAGTTTATGTGTAAAACGCCAGAATGAACAGCAATTGCATGACTTTTTGACAGTATTCAGTATGATTCAGTGGCACAATGTATGGAAGTTGGAGCCGTAAAATGGCCTTGCCATAACATAGACTAATCTAGTATAAATGTATCAAAATATCTTAGTCACAAGAATATACTCTTTTTCTATTAAGATATGAATACGTACCATTATGCTGCTTTTTATAGTGTTTTGAAGTAAAGAAAATTTTTTAGTGGGATGACATGAGCTTTTATTTATTAGTAGACTATTAGCGAATTGTTTGAAAATTTTCTTATGTTAATTTGATCTAAAATTTGCAGTAATTATAATCCCCGGTAAAGCTTTTGCTATACCAGATTTCAACTTGACTAATTCTATTCAACAGAATTTCTTTATAATTTAGTGAGTGGTCTTTATTATATAACCATCCGGAACTAACAGTTTTTTATAACTGTTTTTTTTGCATAAAGTATCAATGCCATTATTGTTTTTTTATATAGATTGCTATAAATATGGTATTAATGAAATATTCTTTTACCTGAATTCCCAGAAGGCAGCTTGG